CCCATTTCCCTCATCCCCCACCATCACTACCATATAAATATTAACATGCATTGATGTTTGTATTGCCTTACTTCAGAAATCATGGTGGAACAACTGGCCAAATGCGTCATGAAGGGGATCTCGGTAACGCAATGGTTGACGCCAGAGGGAACTTGCAAATCAATGTGACTGTGAATGCAGCCAGAATATGTCAGTATAATGGCTTTCTTGGTCGTTCAATAGTTATACATCAAAATGTAGATGATTTGGGCACGAAGCCAACTGAGGAGAGTAGAACGACAGGGAGCTCTGGACCGAGACTCGCATGTGCTACAATTGGCTACAGGAGTGTGTAACCAGCCATGCAACCTCCAGTATCACCTTTAATATCGACGTGATGAATGACAGTGAAATCATCAATCACTGAAGTAGTTATGTGTTATAGATAATAAATTTCTGCTATTAAATACTCACGGAATTTCTTTTCAATTTGTCAAACATATTTTGTTCTGCACCTCACTTCCTTCTGATATTTGTCATTGAACTGATACCGAAGATTATGTTGATTGTGGTCCAAGCGTCATTCGTAGAATCATTCTCACCCTATGATTGTGATGATTGATGTCTGTGTTGTTGCGGTAATTCTGATCTCTCATGCCTTCTAATTAGCCTCATAAGCATGACATTTCGATGTTATCATCGTCAGTTCGATGTGGCTTCTCAGGTCTACAAATATTCTTGGAACTTCATCCATTCTCTCTCAGAATAGTGAGAACTTGTGTTTCTAGAATATTGTTTATATAAAGAGTACATGTGATGTGGCTGAATTGTTAATAAATGGCAATAAAGCCGTCTTGACGATTATTCAGATGTTTGAGATTTTCTGTTTCTCCTCTTAGGGTGTGGACCAATGAATACTTCTTATTGTAGTGTTAAAAACTGATAAGTCAAGTTTTATCGATTGTGGTGTACTCTTTGTATACCAGGCGAGTAGCCATTGAATCAGTACCTACATGCTTGTGATAAATGAAGGATTGTAGACAAACTTGGGAATAATGCAACCTCAGGATTTTCGTCTTCTCCATGATCTCTCGAACCTAAAACATGCAAGTGTATCTTTTATAGATGTGTAAAGTGTTTTTCTTAGATTTTATTGTGAATATCTGAGACTTCGGTGTATTCGCAGCATGTTTCGATGGTTTTAAACACTCGGTGTTACTTCGTTTGAATCTGTAGGAGCAGGATATTCTGACAGACTGATTAGACACTAGGAAGTACTCAACGTCGTATGTCTTTTCCATCGTGCTTATTGCTTTTGATTTGCATTTTTATGTCGATTTAAGGAGTCGTTTTCGGAGACTGTTTTGTACGGTGATCTTTGATTCCTTTCGGTTTGTTAAATCCAGTCGGGTGATACCATGGAATCTGGCTTCATACTTATTGATTATGACTTTCAAAACTGCAGCTCCCCCCTTAACTTCAAGTTTCCATTTGGTAATGTGTAATCTCCTAATCCATTGTTAGCATACTTTTGTTTGGTTAGCATGTATATCAATATTCTCATACCTGATGTAAAAGGACTTAACTCTTACAAAGTATACTTGGATGACAATTTCATTATATGGGACGAGTATTTCGATTTAGATGATACCTTGAAATATTAAATGACGGTCATCCTGCTATTCGTTTCACCTCAGAAAAAGTAACTGTGGAAAAAATCTCCCCTTGATGTTCTACTCACAAGGGGAACTGATAGTTCTTCGAAGTTATCTTTTTACAGAAAATCGATATGGACAGGACAAATGATCAGTTTTTATAGTTATATCCCCATAGACAGAAAAAGAAATCTAGTGAGTTCACCCTCAACGCGGATCCAGAGAATTTGTAATGAAGACAGAGTTGATGATGAACTTGAGCAACTGAAAGAAACCTTCATATAGAACAGGTATCCACTCGCTTCGTCGAAGCCAATAGGAAGTTACGTGGAAGAAACAGAGAAAGCGAACAGGTAGATAGGAAAATGTTCCACCTAAACTTAAAATTTAAGGATGATAGTGTGAGTGAGGTACTCGAAAACTGTTTGACAATGCCACCGAGAAAACATTCTTCTCTGCCACTTTACGAATAACTCCCTCTAGCCGTTCACTGGTGCACCTTAATGTTAAAGAAATATTACCTCAGTTGTGTATTTCTATGTTCATCTGCTCTTGCGGAGCTAACTACACAGGATGTTCGTCGAGAAACATATCCCGCTACGTTCGTGAGCACATCTCAGCTTGGATGAGCAAAGCAGAACGAAGTGGTATCAATTCATCTATAATGCAACATATTGTAGATACTGACCACGAGGTATCTGATATATCGTTTAATATAGTCTAGAAAGCCCAACAAAGTCCGCCGAATAGCTACGAGTGCATTTGCTTTGCATAGCAGAGGCTTTACCAATACATAAAGTACATAAAGCCAGAACTTTATGTACAAAAACAATTTGTACGATCGCTTTCGTTACCATGGTCTTGATTTTACTATTTAATCCATGAAAACTTTGTTATCCTCTCTATTCCATGTTCCAATTTTGTTTTATTTAATTTCAATTTATGTTGTCATTTTCTAACACTTTATTTAGTCTACTATTTTCACAACATTTCACACATCTTTTGTCTCCATCATACTATTATATTCACATATTCACATTTCTGAATGTACTTTATTTTCCGATCATCCATTTCACACATGTCTACTGACCTTTAGGTTGACCTCTATTTATCTAGTTATTCATTCACATATCTAATCAATTGTGATTCATAATCAAATACACCTATACTGTCTCACTTTAGTATTTCCACTCACTGTGAAACTTTCACACACACACGCACAAACTGATTGTTATTGCACATCGTAGTTCATAATTATAAGAATTTTGTAGTCTGTTGATAAATACAATAACAGTATATGGTGTCTTAATCAAAGTATTGTCTCTAAGTAAAATTTTGTTTAACACCCTAACAGATTCTAGGCGGGCATCATAACTTGAATGTTGCAACATAGTGAAGAATATTTATGAATTTGAGTCACTTACATTTAGTTGATGCATAGAGATGAAGCTCTTCGTTATTTAATGCTTCTGTAAACCTCCATTTAGTCGAATAATTTTAATGTAATCAAGCCTAGCCTCATGCCCAACCTTTCCTCTTTACCAGCTTTATTATTGGTTTAGCGAGGTAAAGGAGTGCGTCGGCTGGGGATTGAACCCCGGACCATGTGCATGGTCGGCGAGCGTCCTAACCGCTGTGCCACCAACGCAATGTAATCAAGACTAAATGTCTATTGAAAACACCCCAAATTATATTACAGTTCTTATACGTAAATTGGGTTGTATTTTGAACTGATGCGAACACTAATCACAAAATAACTCGAGTAATCATATGGCATACCCTAATAACAACGTTAGTTGTAGCGGCATAGTACTTTGCTATGTTCATATAATGACACAGGTAATATATTATGTATGTGAACTGCGTTCAGAAGTTAGTACATACTTCTTTTGAAGAGCAAGACTGGCATTTACTCGATTTATCGCAGACACTCCCATCTAACTGTTTCAAAACTGGAATAAAACTGAAAATCTGAAAAAAAATACCGACCTAACAAAGAGAATCAACATATTGGTAGGAATATTTACTCATTTATACAAGGAATTGCAATTAAAGTTATTCACTTGCCAACAATACTCAGTACTGTCTGCAATATAATGTTATTATTGTAATTAGTATTATAAAACAAGAATCTAATTTTGTAACCTAGTGTCATCGACTTTTCAATTTTCATTGTTTTTGTTAACATCAATTGAACATTAAACGCTGAATGCTTTAACAGAATAGGAAAATATTGAAAAAACAGGATTCAGTTGAATTAGACGACAAAACTGGCGCTCATAAGACTATATATATATATATATATTCACGTCTAATTCAAAGAAAATGTTTTAAAAAATGACCAAAGAAAAGAATTAATATGAACAATGATGAATTGTGTAATAATTTGTCTAAATGTGATAAAGAGGACTGATATTTCTGCCTTTTTTCTCCCATAAAACTGAGTTTTAGTTAAATTTAATAACCGGAGTGAATTAATGTTGCACACTGTCTTTTCCAAGGTCAACAACACTGATAATTTAAATCAAACTCATAGTGTACAACCTGATACACGTTCTTTTTGTCATTATCAAACAAAATTCCATAATTTATTGTCATTAAAGGGAAAAAGGAAATAAAATTTAGAAGATAATCTTTGAAATTTCTGTTTTGGATGGAAAAATTATTCATAATTGTTTTTCTTGGAGCAAATAAAGCAAAGAAATTTTGTATGTTCAATGTTCAAGTGTTTATGTATATACATTCAGTATAGTTAAGGTCACCGGAGAGATGAACACCTTGAAATGACCGATTTGATATAAGACAGTCAGTGAAATACTAATGATAAGACTACGGAAATGGAAAGTGAAGAAGTGCAAAGGAAACTGTAAAAGATATATATATATTTATCAGTTTTAAATAAGACTGCCAGTTGTTGTTGTTGTTGTTTTAATGCAGTAATTTAAAAATCAGATATGGAAACGAAATGTGGCGCTTATTTCGTCTGTTTTGTAAAATATATAAATTATTTCAGCTTATTACAAAAACGAAAGAAAATATTCACCAATATGATTTGGTAAATTATGTTTTCTATTAAGTTCTATTGAATAGAACTAAAATGCTACCAAATATACTGTGACTAGGCTGCATAAAGATGAAAACAAAGTCGGAATAGTGTCAAAGATGATTTCGCGTTGTCTTTTCTTGTTTCGTTCATGACTGTATTACCTCTTCCTATTCTTCTTCTTCACATTAAATTGTAAATTATACTAATAAATAAAGTGGTGATAATAATAACAATAATATGAAAAACAATGAAAGTAATTAGGAAATGTAATTGGTCTTATCACACTCTATTTCAACTTGTATACAACACCATACATTACATTAATTGCATGTATGAAACGGCATACAATCTGTATCCATAGATGACATACTGCATACAACTAAATTATTACTAATTGGGTTAGCATTTACAAAGAATTGATCATATTGACCAAGATGAGTAGTAGGCGTAGACGAAGGGAATATTGATGGTGGTGGTTGTATTGATGAAGATATCGGTGTTGTCTGTGCTGTTTGTTCATCAAAAACTGATTGTAAAAAAGGACTGTACAATAAATTCGATGAATGCTGAAATGAATTAATATAAGTATGAATTGAACTATTCACAGAGGGAATATTTTGTACTGTTTGATCATCAAAGGAATTTTGATAATTACTAGTTAATTGGTGAGAGGATATATTTAATAGTGGATTTATATTGTTCATTTGTTCATTATGCCTTTGACTAACTTCATTCATTGTTAAGGGATTTGATGAATAAGGAGTAGCATTATGTGCAGAGGATGTGGTTACTGCCGACTCGGATGACGAAGGCAACAATACAGAATTATGATGGTTAGGCATATTTTCTGATTCTTCTGAGGAGGAGAAGCAGGAGGAATTATGCTGAAAGGTTGGGTAACAATAATTGACATCAGTGTTCTGATTTCTCTGAGAACTTACTCCACTTATATTGTTAATGGAAGTACCATTAGTACTGGTGATAGTAGTATTAGTGTTATCCATCATTCGACTACACTGAACATATGGATTATGTGAATTGTATAAATTTGAGTCTTGTAAATGACTATTTTCACTCCAGAAGGGTAATGCTCTATAATTTCCCTGATGATATTGTTGAAGTTGACGATGATGCTTCTATAGATGTTGATGTTAGTGATGCTTGGTTATGACTAACCGGATAACAGGATGTCTGCTTATTATTATAATCTGTAAGTCCTGTTGGAATACATGAAGACGTTGAAGAAGCTGGTGTTGTCATCGACTTGTCTAACCAAGTGGGACCACTATCTGTGCTGGACATGTATGACAGGTCAGGATAATATGGGTTTGACCAATAGCTGTTATTATTATTATTACTTTTATTGTTATTATTATTATTAATAGTAGTATTCCCAAACCATGTTTCATTTAAGTGACATCTGTCTGTAGTAGTAGTAGTAGCAGAAACCCTTTGGATTATCATATTACTACCACTACTATTGTTGATTTCAGTAATAACATCGTCATTTCGAGGAAAATTCTGTGTATATTCTCTGTATTCATCAGTAACATCTCTTATTCTTCTTCTTCCTCCTCTCAAATCTGAATTAACATGTGAAAATAATTCAACAGAATGAGGACGATTTGAAGTTGATGATGAATACGCGGGAGACGAAATCATATTAGAAGGGAAACATAAATCCATTTGTCCATTATACAATGAATTAGGAGTTACTGAATTAAGATGATTTTGAGAATGACTCTGAGGCAGTGAGTATGGAGAAGAAGAAGGCTGTGAAGTTGGAGTTGAATACTGAGCATTGTTCGCAGCTGATCTGGATACGCCTGGACTGAATTCTTCAGAATACAGTTTTGTGCATTGATTGTATTCAGACTGATAATCATGATATGGTTTATGGTATTTTCTCCACATTTTAGAGACATTATCTTCAGTGTAATCCCCCCACTTTGATTGACTGGCCTTGGAAGAGCACTACCATATAACAGGTTATTGTTGTTATTACTAATTATTATTACTATTGAAATGACCAGCGTTTTCCATGTTTGTTTTCCCTTTATCTATATTTGTATTAGTCCCGTTATAACCACTTCCAGTATTGGATGAACTCATCGATCCAACACCACTGCTTACTTGAGAACTTGTTGAACTAAGCTGTTCTAGATCTAATTGAGATGGTGTATGCATATCTGTTGAGGATGGATCAGTAATAATTTGTTCATGACACAGCTGATGCAAATTATCTTCTTGTCTGTGGTTTTGTTGTTGACCTTGTAAACAGTTGCATATAGAATGCGTTAAACCGTTACTGTTTTGTGAAGAGTAGGATGTGTATGTCTGAGAAGGGACTCCATTGGATGCAGTAGCATTTGTATTATGTACGTCTGTATTTAATGAGCTTTCGTATAAACCATTACCACTGGGATTAAGATTTCTACGGGGTGTTTTTAAGATTTGATCATGCGTGTTGGGATTAGTGGTATTATTATTTACAGTGTTATCATTATTGTTTCTGTTATTATGATTTGAATTACTTTTATGTGAATGCATAGGTTTTCTGGGATTGTGTCGGATATGATCATTATTATTATCTGATCCTGTATTGGTCGTCACACCAGATCCAATACCAGATGAAGCAGTTGCACTCTCTGAATCCCAAAGTTCTAGAATAAAATAATACAAACAAAATACCGTATGCAGTCCAATAGTATGTATCTCATTTGTTCACGAGAAATATAAAAAGAACCGAGACGAAAACTTCAGAATACCGTTTGTTTAAACGTGAAAATTGTTAACTAATATTGTGGTGAGAGCTGTCTGCCAGCCAAAATTGGTAGACAGCAATTGACGTCAGTGTTTACGTCCCAAATCTTGGTCATTAGAAAAAAAACAAGGACAAAGATTGACTGAACAACCAATCACAGCAGACTTTGCGTGGGCGGACACGATTAGCAGATATATGGTCTGACAGAATAACTTACAGTGAGAAAACGACCAATCAGAAGACGCTGTTCCTCTGCTAATAATAACGAATAATAATGTACATAAAAATATGTAAATATCTCTTAATTTCCTCAACAAACGATCTGTTGCCTGGCCTCTGTCTTCTGTCGTTACAACATGAAGTAAGCGGATGGTCAAACAGTTGTTATTATTATTACTCACTTCTGCTCCGAATGGAACATAGCACTTCAACAACACATCTGTATTTTCCTCCGTTCTCTGCAGTCTCTTCCAGTTGGCTCCACGATTCCCAATAAGCTTTAGTCTCCTCAACATACAATCTCCTGCATGTCACACTGGAACCTACTCCCACCTCGTTATTTCCCATTCGGATTCAACTCGGTCTCCTCAGAGTGTGTCCAGTGGAACTACATTTCCTTAAGCATATTTGCTGGATAATAGTTTCTTATTTGGTTAGTTGCTATGTCAGAGTTTCCCTGTTGCTCACCTTTTCTGGTCTGCTATCTAATCTACAGTATCCAGTCAGAGAAGGAAGCTGTCTCTGAAGGCCTGAAGTTACCTGTTGGAAATGCTTTCGGTGAGGCGCCAAATCTCAGGCCCGTTAAAGAAGCACTGGCTCAGAACTGTTGTTGAAAATCTGAATCTTGTTCCATATGCTGAGTGCAGCAGATTTCCACGCTGATTTCAGATTAATGAAGGTCTGTCTTGCTTTTCATGGTTAAATATTACAGAACTTCAATCGGACTTAAATGATTTACACATACGACATTTGTTTCATTTAATCGATAAATATTCTTCAATGTAAATATCTTCACGAAACGACATCATTAAGGGAACCTTTGAAAACCATGGAGCATTGGAAACTACAGATTTCGTCCCAATTTTGAACTCATGGCCGGTGAGGATCCCTATGTTGAGTGTGAAACGGATACCTGTCAATGGCATCCATGATCAGTGGCACCGTATAGAGAATTTAAAAGTTAGGATTCATAGGGTTATTGGATTCCGACACGACACCTGAATAGTCAGTGGCTCGCCTAGGAATCTGAGGGTTTCAGGTCCAGTACCTAGTCTAGTTGACGAAGATTATCAAACTAGGATGGGACAGGTGTCAAATTCTTTATAGTTTTAAATAGTTCTCTAACCGATATCGGTTCGTGACATCTACATTGGAGTTAATTTAAGTACTTATCAGCTGAAAAGGAATTCTGGCCATACTCTCCAAGAAAGTATTGACTGAGAAGGGTTACTCAGCGCTATTTCTGGCCTCGAAAATGATGCCTTATGCTACACTTTCTTCCCAATGTTTTCCACTAACCCACAAGACTAGCTATGGTATCTAACTTCTCACATCTGTGTTGTACCTCTAAGCTGTTCCTGTGAACACCGTGGGCGAGTTTTACGTTAGATCACACTTTTCTGCTTGTCTGGAATCAGACATTAGTGGAGAAATTAGCAGCGAGATGACTGAACACCTCGTCAACACTAACCACAGTATTTTTAAACTGGCCTTAACTATTACTTCGATTTTCAACCGAACACACTGTGGGACGTATACTATCCTAATAACATTTAACCTTAGCTACCTGACATAGTGTAGGTAGGTATGACGAGAATTTAAATGTAAACATACGCCTCGACTGAAGTGGAACTGCCCTCTACCAATTTGGTTATGAATGTTAACTACCATTCAGACGTTAATTGCACGATTTACTGATTGATGATAATTCCTTTCTCCTTCACGTTCCCAGTGGAACATAGGTCTTCAAGCTAAAGGCTTGAAGTTTCTGTAGCAGTGTTTACTTTTACAGGATGAGGCTGCTGACCTCATGCCCAACCTTTCCTCTTTACCGGCTTTTTATTACTGGTTCGGCGAGGTAAAGGAGTGCGTCGGCCGGGGATCGAATCCCGGAGCATGTGCATGGTCGGCGAGCGTCCTAACCACTGTGCCACCGACGCACCCATTGATGATAATATTTATTAATTAATTATTAATTTTATCATTATTTCCTTGTGTTCCGAGTGGAACATAAGGCTTCACCAGCAGATCTCCGTTTCATCCTGCTGCCTGCCGTCTTCCTTTAGTTGGTTCTACTATTGCCCGCAGGCATTCACTTCCTTCACAAGCAAATTCTTCCATTTCATCCTAAGACCCACAACCATCTCATCGCTTACCATTCGCGTTCCACTGAAGAGCAAGTCTGGAGTGTGATGTCACTCAATGGTTTTCTCAGTGTATGTTCATCTTCGTTTTCTTCTGCATACTTTTTGGACGATATTTTCTTGGTTGATTTTCTGTACTACTAGAGTTCCACGTTGCTTATTCTTTCTGATCAGTAGTGTGGAGCGAAGATAGCTGTTGATTTAAGTTTACAGTACACTTTTTTGATGTGGTTGTGTTCTCTGAGCTGGATGGTTAATTTGCGAAGCTTTCATCGCCCTACTAGGCGACATCTTCAACGCATACTTCAATTTGAAGTGAGCTTTAGGATTTCTCCACGAGTTTATTAGTCATCTCTCCTGGTGGGTGACCTTGGACGTGATTGGTTGTTTTTGTGTGTTTTCACACCTTCTATGTTATTTGTATTGTAATTCATTGTTTCTTTGACTTGAACTTTGACCCTTTGTGTGTGAGGTTTCTTTCTTATCGGTTGATAAATTTTGTCTATCTCGATGTGTCTAATGATTGATGATTCACTGAAATGCCAAGCTTCTAAAAATTTTCTAGCATTCTTGTTGTTTCCTCTGTCTAATATTTGAACGTTGGTTGTCCCAGTCGAATTGATGTCTGTGGTTGTCTATATGTAGTGATATGAGGGAGTGGATATCATGTCTTTTGACAGCTAGCTTATGTTCGTGGATACGAAGACGAAGGGGACGTCCACTTTGGCCAATGTAGTGCTTTTCGCAGTTGATACAATTTATTTATTTCGTGGAGAAATCTGAAAGCTCACTTGAAATTGAAGTATGCGTTGAAGATGTCGCCTAGTAGGGCGATGAAAGCTTCGCAAATTAACCATCCAGCTCAGAGAACACAACCATATCAAAATCATCCACCTGAGCTACAAATCTTCTCTATCATATCTACAGTACCCTGTTGGATATGCTTTTCGTGCTACGCCATATATCGTCTACTTTACTAGCAAGTTCTAAGCCTGCTATAAGAGGGATGGTTAAACGTTGGGCCAATAAACCTGTCGTGAAAAATCAATCCAATCGCTACAGAAAATTCAAAGCACAGATGTAATTATCACTAGCCAGTCTGATTAGCCTCGACACTAACCTTGATGACTGCATGACTTACACTTAGTAATCGGTGAAAAGGTTTCAAAAATAAATCTTACCAGTCGTTAAACAGTTCTCTTGATGTATGACACCAAGAGGAGTTGAACAGTCCATTTCACAGGTTTGAGAATTCTGTCCAATAATATTTTCATCATAAATACTGCTTACTACTGAATTGTTATTGCTAGTAGTATGGTTATTATCACTATTCGAAATCTGCTGTATTTTATTCACCTCTAAAGATGATTCTTCTAACAGCTCATTGAATTGTTTTCTATGATTATCATGAATTATTTTATTATTTTTAAGCGGCATCATTGTATCTTCAATTTTCCATTTTTTCGGCAAATCAAAACAATTTGTTGTTATAGTTGACATTTCATTCAACTGTTCATTGTCAATGGTTGGTTTGTTTAAATGAACTAACATTTGATCATCATTTGATTTTAATTTTAATTGAGCATCTGAAGGATATTCTGAAGAAATTGGCAAGTTTGCAGTTGTTTGCTGTTTGTTTTTGAAAAGGAAAGATATAATAGTTAGATAATTGGATATTGAATAATTATTCTCATAAAATTCAAAGAGGGAATTTTAATTTTTGTGAGAAGCAATTTTTAAAATAAAATTCACTTGAAATGAATATGATGATTTTATTTGATTGTTGATTGCCAGCAGTAGAATCCAGGAAGTTAATTTCATCCCATTCATGACTCATCATCTGAATGTACCAGCACTAGCAGTAAGTGATGGTGTTCTGTATGAGACCTATAAATCACCCGGGGTACACGTACATCCAGATGATGAGTCACAGATAGTGGACGAACGGCACGTCCTGCATTTCAGTGTTAGCCACCACCAACCAAGTAACGTCATTGTCGAGGCATCCATGCTACGAGTCCATATGTCAACGGAAACCGAGCATTTCGGCAGAATATAATCCAACCAGTGGGAAATACAGAAGTAACTATAAGAACAATATAACTGCTAGACAACTTCGAAGATCTCTGCGTTGATTACTACTTTTTAACGGTCAATACCATAACTATTCACAGCCTTCACCTTATATCTCCTCAGCTAAGACAAGAAACAGTTTCCAAAATACAAAAGTTTAACGATTTCCTACATGGCATGCATTTTATTTCTCGTTTTTTTACAGAAGATGAATGTGTTAGTGTAATGTACTGGAGCTATAGGTCAATGAAGTTGAAATTCATCCTAGTTTGATAATTTACCAACATTATTCATTTGGGAAGTAGGTGTTACTTATTTATGAAAGTAGTTTTGAGAAAGTGCATAAATTTCCAGCAGATCCTAAAAAGTACGTCTACAATTATAGTAGTGTTGAATTAAATAAGGTGCACCTCGAATTACTTTCCCTTGACCTTAGATTTTGCGATAGACCGAAACGAGTTAATCACTTAGATACTGATATTGAATTTGAAAACCTGTTTAGTCAAACAAGGGATCTAGTTCCATCAGCCACCCTGGAACTAGAAAGCTTCAAATCAAGTCTAGTGGATTGTTGTTATCAGTACAAAAAAATCAAATGCGACAGTAAAAGTTTCTTGACAAAGGAGCACAGAGAAGAACTAAAAAAATTGATAAATGATGAGAGACTGATAATCACAAAGCCTGATAAAGGATCAGGAGTAGTCCTCCTTGATAGAAGTGACTATATTAAAAAGATGAATGACATATTAAAGGACACACAGAAGTTTCAAAAACTTGAGGAGAAGTAAGATTTCAGTAACAAAATAGAGAACGAATTAACCAGACGTTTGAAGAAACTAAAAGAAAAGCAGATATTTTCTGAAAGTTTAAATGAAGAAATCAGACCAACGGGCACGTACACGCCAAGATTGTATGGCCTACCTAAAGTGTATAAACTGGGGGTACCGTTAAGACCAATACTTGATATGCGAAATTCGCCCTACCATGCTCTAGCTAGATATTTAGTCAATATTCTCAAACTTTTCATGCGAAGACAGTGAAAAATAGCGTCAAAGATATATTTGAATTCGTAGACAAAATCAAATATATTAATATCAAGGACAAAACATGGTATATTTAGACATAACATCATTATTCACAAATGTACCTCTAGTAGAAACAGTTAACTACATATGTGAACAAGTATATAACCAGTAGATAAATGTCAGCATCCAAACGGAGATGCTAAAATAATTGTTAATAAGGTGTACCATGAATGTAAATTTTAAATTTGATGGCCCACTTTACAGACAAGTGGACGGGGTGGCGATGGGCTCCCCATTAGGTCCCATTTTGGCAGATTTCTTTCTAAGTAAACTAGAAAATGGACCTTTCAACAACCTTATCAGAAAGTTCTCATTTTATTTCCAGTATATGGATGACACCTTCATTCTTTGTGATAATGATTCGGATAGGAGTACAATAATAACTGAATTCAATGAAGTACATTCTGCTATGAAATTCACGTGTGAAGAGGAATCCCAAAACAGAATTGCCTTTGTGGATGTCCTCCTTACAAGAAAACCAAATAGTGGCATAAAAAGAAATTTGCATAGGAAAAGTACATGGACAGGACAATATACACATTTTCACAGCTTCGTTCCTCTCCAGTACAAAAGAAATTTAGTGAAGACCCTCAACCACAGAGTTAGAGCTATATGCTCAGAAGAAGTAATTGAAGATGAACTAAGCATTGTATATGATACCTTGATTGAAAATAGCTATCCCAACAAATTTATCAAGAAACACATGACAAAGAAAGCGGTGGAAAAGGACTACTCACTATCCGTAAACAAGAAGCCTTTATGCATACGACTGCAACTCAATACCAAGCGAAATATTTACAAAGAAATTAAGAAAATCAGTTCAAAGAACTTTTAATGCTGGCAAAATGCAAGTCTTATTTTCCACACGACCGATGGTGATTCCTCGATTGAAAGATGAAGTACTTAGACTAGCCACTTCCAATTGTATCTACAAATTCAACTGCGCTTGTGGAGCGAGTTATATCGGCCGTTGCTCTAGGAACCCGATTTTTCGTGCTCACTCGCCCGAAAACATTTCTCACTATGGCTAAGTAAAAGTGTAGTTAAAACCATTAACAGTTCGATATTAGACCATCTAGTGCAAACCGAGCACAAAGCCAACATTGAAGAATCCTTCTCTATCATCACATTCTTGTTTTATTTAGTATCAAGCTGCAACAATTACGTCTTAGGTGATTTGAGGCAGTCAACAGAAAGCCCTAAACTTAGATTTCGTTCTTACCCGCACTCGTCAGCAAGGCAAAGGAAGCGATGCTTCACGCCCTCCCTCCTCTCTACAGAGATCCCAAATCGTATCATCCACTGCTCCAGTCAAAGACATTATTTAATTAATTAATTTTAATTTTGATTTACAGCTTGGTTCCACACCGTATTTTCAGTACAAGTATGGAATTTTCAGCATGGATATCGGTAGCCCAAATTCAGGCCGACCATAGATATCAGGTGTGCGCCGGCAGGGGATCGAACGCCGGACCATGTGCATGGTCGGCGAGAGTCCTAACCACTGTGCCACTGACGCACAGTCAGTCAGCAGGGTTGCAAAGGCATCACCTGGTCTGTTGACCACAGTGAAAACTTAACTGGTCGATTTCAATCACCACCAACATTAGGAAAAAATACATGAGATTGGTAACACCTTGGGGATGTGAATGTTCTCTGAGATTCGATTTTCTTAGCCAACAGCAACAACGGCATGAATTTTCTATCGCTGTATTTATATGTGAGACAACTCCCGGCTAGAACAAGCTGGATTCAGGAAAGGCAAATCATGTTCTGACCAAATTGCAACTCTACGCATCATCATCGAACAAAGCATGGAATGGCAATCAAACCTCTACCTCAACTTTATAGACTTTGAGAAGGCCTTCGACAGCGTTGACCACGAAGTAATTTGGAAACTACTCAAGTACTACGGCGTACCCCAAATATTCATCAACCTTATTCAACAGCTGTACGACAACGACACATGTGAAGTGATCCACAACGGAAAACTTAGTGAGGCGTTTGGAGTAAACACAGGAGTTAGACAAGGGTGCTTATTATCACCAATGATATTCCTAATTGTGGTGGACTGGATTATGCGTCAGACAGTGGGAAACGAGAAGACAGGGATATCCTGGACCGACGTGAAGAACCTAGAAGACCTGGATTTCGCGGATGATTTATGTTTGATGTCACACAAAATCGAAGACTTACAAGCGAAAACCGACAAACTGGTCGAAGAAACAGCAAAGACAGGACTCCAGGTGAACATAGACAAGACGGAGGTTATGAAAATAACCAACCAACAACAACAACAACAGCAACATCCAGTGCCAATCACCATCAACGTGAGGGATTTGAAAGAGGTTACTTCATTCACTTATCTAGGGAGCATTGTCTCAACTACAGGAGGAACGGACGAGGATGTCAAATCGAGAATCGGGAAGGCGAGAAACACATTCATCAACCTGAAACCAATCTGGAAATCTTCGTCACTCAGCATCAACAACAAAATTCGGATTTTCAATACAAACGTCAAGTCAGTTCTTCTATCGTACGGATCAGAAACTTGGTGGGTCACAAAGAATATTTCCAACAGCCTGTTGCAGACCTTTATCAACAACTGTCTTCGCTCTATACTGGAGATCAGATGGCCGGAAACAAGAACCAACAAGACACTATGGGAACAAACGAAACAAGAACCAATCGCCCAACAAATATGCAGGAGAAAGTGGAGATGGATTGGACACTCACTGAGGAGGAGGCCGAAAGGGAAGCGGCGACTGGGACGTCCAAGGGTGACATGGAGGAGATCGTGTGAAGAGGAGTTGAAACAGTATGGATTAACATGGATGCAAGTGAAAAGTACAGCAGAAGACAGAAGCAAGTGGAGACGTGTAGTTGAAGCCCTATGTTCCACTAGGAACCCAAGAGAACAACAATAATAATAATAATACAACTCCCGGTGAAGCATTATTTTCTAACAACCAACATAAATAATATATTTTACTGGAAAATAAACTACCTAAGCACAATCACTGTATTCAATGAACCTACCCTTTTTATACCATCTTCATTAAAATAAGAAGTTGATGAATTCTCATACTGTTGATATTTACTCATATCATGAAATGATGTCGAATACTTCCAGTTCGATGATGATTCCGATTTCACAGTTGATGCCTTCAAGGACCGATCTGAGGTGCCGTAAGAGCATAATTCTATTGGTTGGTTATAACCCATTTGTCTTGTAGTAGTACTGGTAGTAGTAGTAATCGTAGCAACAGTAGAAGAAGGAGTACAGATTGAATAATCCTCATTTATTATCGAAGTAGGATAGACAATCTTTTGTTTACCATTTAATAACTGATAAGAATCTTCTAATGACTTATCAGAGTGTGGAGTGATAGGAAGAGAATGCGATGTCAGTGATAGTAGATTAGTATTTGAATGAACAGTGGAATTTTTGTGCTCATCACTGCCTACTACTCCTCCCACGACTCCATCACTATCGGTACTTGGAAAATACAAATTATCACGTGATGATTTAGCTAACGATGATGTTGATGATGATATCCAAGATGGTGTCATCAAGTTGGCATTCCCCCCGGAATCGATTATATTTCGAGTGAAATCAAAATAATTTGGATAAATGGAATGTTCACACTTAAGATTAGTAAAATAATGATCACTCTGATTGTTATATGTTACCGGTGGAGAGGTCATCATCAACACGTTAGAGGAGTTCATATTTTGATCAGTGAATTCAGATAAATTCCAATTCATATGTGGAGTATTTCTACCCGGAAAATGTGTACCAAATCGTCTAGAGAATCTTGGAAATTCTGAATTTTGATACTCTGCCATAGTGTGTTCAGTATTCACATCAACAGGATTGACTGACTCTGTACGCATTGGACTGCTAAGACATGCCAGACAAGCATCTCTTGTGTTCGATGAAGATGGACGTTGTTCACGATTTGCATAACCTCCACGATGAAATGTTGAATTGTTGTTGTTGTTGTTGCTGTTGCTGTCATGCATTCCACGTGGTGCAAATCTTCCACGTGTACCAGGCATTGAACCATTCGATCGTTTCTCTTGTGAAGAATTATCATTCCCACTACCGAAAAAATGGCCACTACCAAAATTTGATCCCCCGCCGCATGGTCGATCACTCCAACTTTCACCTTTATGTTTCTTATTGGCATATACCTGATGAATAATAAAAAAAGAATTTTTAACCATTGGTTTGTAAGGATATTTTGTTGAGTTCATGTTAGACTCTCTCTCATGAACAGACATCATTTAGAGAACTATTAGAAGAAACAGCTGTTCAGTACTTCTTGGTTTTCAACGGTTCTCTAAATGATCTCGGTTAGTGATGAAATCCAGTTTGAAAGAAAAAATACTTATACAAGATTAAATCTCAAAGGCTTTTAGAGAATGTTAAAACTGACATTTTGACAATTTTTTTCACATTGCATTATTGGTTCGACAACAGAATGCTCAACCATCCACATGGTCCGGGTTCGATTCCCAGGGGACGCACACCTAATCGCCACTTAGCCGGTTGTAAGCCCAGTAAATAGGGATGGTTGTCCATGATACTAGCAACCCCGCCTCTGGACTTGGGTTTCGTGCTTATTGAAACTCGTCAGCAGGGCGTATCTTCAACCTTGATGAAATTCATGTCCCCTCCGGGATTCGAAGATGTGTATCACCCAGCGTTGCAGTCACAGACGTTACACAACTGAGCTAATTCAGCATCACTTTCAATCGAAAAATCATTCAAGCACTGTAATAACAGTTTTTAAGTTCTGCCTTTATATCAGACACTGAATAAATTCGAGTGAACTGACTAACACTATATTAGGGATAAAATAAACTGATAGAATTCAGTCTGCACCGATACCAGTGACTAGACGCATGATATTGATTACTTTCTAGTGACCAATTAATTTAAACATTTCTCTCTGATCCACAAATCGACAGTTATCCGTTAAAATATTACATTTATATGTGTATATATACTGGACTAAAGCCCAAGAAAGATCTAAACGAAATCACTATTTAGAAAACAGAAAGACTGAGCGAAGAAATATTTACTTTTCAATTAGATCCTCATCTCTGGCTCTACTCTAATATATATAGCATTTTATTACAATACACAACAGTTTACCAAACAAGTGGCACTGATATGTTTGTTAACAATAATTAAACAGTGTCAAAATGTCAATGGGTTGATAATTAACGAAGAAAATTAATACACACAATTAAAAGGTAGAAATGGATAGTTCGAGACGTTCGAGAAATAAGGATAAACTACCTAAATTTGCCTCTTCTATGTGTATCTACCCATTTGACTGCAGTTGCGGAGCCAGCTACATTGGGCGTACAATTAGGCAGGTTCATCGTCCTTATTTCCGAACATCATCCGGCATGGTTAAGCAAGGGACAAACAAGATCTATTGGAAGTTCTATTTTAGCATACCTTGTAGATAGTGAGCATAGGGTTGATATTAATACTGCATTCAAAATTATTTATCGCATTCCGACTAATCTTAATTTTGCTCTACGAGTTCGTCTTCTACAGACAGCTGAAGCAATCGGAATCCACCTGAAGAAGCCAAGCCTATGTGTTCAGAAGAAATTTGTACAGCCACTTTCCTTACCGTGGCCATCTCTAGAAGAATGCATAAACAGGACTACGTCGCCCCCCTCCCCCTAAACCTATAAAAATTATAATTGTCCAAATTATTTTATTTTTATTTATTTTCACCACTTCATCTTTAATTACGTGTTATCCTTGTAAAATTAATTTATTCTATCCATTTCTACCTTTTAAATGTGTATTGATTTTCTTCGTTAATTATCAACCCATTGACATTTTGACACTGACTAATTATTGTTAACAAACATATCAGTGCCACTTGTTTGGTAAACTGTTGTGTATTGTAATAAAAATGCTATATATATTAGAGTAGAGCCAGAGATGAGGATCTAATTGAAAAGTAAATATTTCTTCGCTCAATCTTTCTGTTTTCTAAATGTCTAAATGAGGATATTTTCTATATTGAGATCACTATTGTCCGCTTGTATGTCTCCTTCAATCAATTAAAAACACAAGAATAAAGTTATTTCTCAAATTCATGACTTTTCAATCGGTATGATAAATTCCAGTCAATCTTTTATATGCTGTATTTATTGAATATAACTGTATAAAATAAGCCCCCAAAAATCGACTATATTACTCACTTCAGCCCCATGAACTGTTTTCACATGTTTTCTTAAAGAACTAGGATCTGTATAGCGTTTTGAACAACCGTCAACTTTACACGTATATGGTTTTTCATTACTATGCGTTCGATTTTGATGTTTAGCTCTATCTGATGCATTACTAAACGCTTTATTACATCCAGGGATTTCACATTGATACGGTTTTTCTCCGGTATGTGATCGTAGATGTGTTTTTAAATTTTCTAGTCGTGAATAACGTTTTGTGCAACCTTCAAACTAAAATAATAAAAAAAATTTAATAAGTGATTAAAAAAGTTTACAAGGGTATATAGTATATATATATAAAGCAAACCATTGGGCAGAGGCAGGATATTTATTATAATGCGATTGGACAACATAGAAACCTGAGCTTATGTAACCAACATAACTGGTGATTTTTGTTGGCTTAACTTTCTGAGGTGCGTAATACTTGTATATAATGCACAAGTGTTGCTTTGCAGAAATTTGATTTGATTAGTTACAGGATTTCATCATGAGCTGATATAGGTTAGAGAACCATTGGAAAACCAGCTGGGAGTACGGCTGTTTCATCCTAGTTTAACACTCTTCACAGTATGCGCTCACCGCCAGCGTTCAAATGCAGGACGTTCCAGTTACAAGGCACCCTCGTACACCATTAAGCCACTGGAACTCGATCCAATGGCCAGCAGATGAACTCCAACTTCTGCCAATTCACGAGTATCTGTCCTCACACCCGACGTGCTGTAACCCTCTGATCACGATTTCTCACTAGAACCCAGGTAACTACCTACCTGAACAGGGCCAGTCAGTAGTGAACATCAGATTTATATTCAAGAGTTGGTTTGCAGGTATTTGATTTGATTGGTATATATTTACCCGACTCATCTGTATTGCTGAAGCTTTGGCTATCGAAACAGAAAAGCCAGATCTCTGTGTACAGAAAAAGTTCGTTCAACCCCTCCAACTCTCATGGTCCTAATCCCTCTATGCTAAGCTATGGCAGTCCCCAATCATATTTTAGCTCTACCAATTTTTCATTTTTTCGTTTTTGTCTATTCAGTTTGTATACTCTTCCTTTATTACGTCAATTGTTACTATTGCTACTCTCACTTTTAACTGTCCCCGGTGTTATTTCACTTGGTCCACTTGTCATTCTAAATCAATTCTGTTTTGCTACATTAAATTCCATGCTATTAAATTTCACACAATATTACGTAACGTTTTTATTTTATTCGATTTGTCTACTAATCCTATAATTGCACACCAAGTTCTATCCATCCTATGAATTATTCTATATACGACATTAATTTACTTTGCCACTTGACATTTAACTACGATTATAATCACAAACATTTTAGTTTTAGTTGCATTTTATATTATTATTATTTTATGTATTCACACCTATGATTCAATTCCCTCACTTCTTAAAAGAAAAACCATATATATACGATTGTACAGCTTGATGATAAATTCGTTGTTGAAAAGAGTCTCTTCGCTGAATCATTTGTTTTGATTTTCTATATGTTACAATGGGAATTTTCCATGATGTATATATATATATATATATATAATGTACTTTTGTATAATAAAATCCAATTGTTTTTATTGGCAACAACTAGTCTCTCTTTTGTTTCCATTTTCGTCGGCTCTGAAGGGGGTCAGAAGTAATCAGTGATCAGTATTAGTGTAGAAACAACAAATCAGTAGTGTAATTACGTAATCATGGGCAGGGCAATATTTTCACGCTTTGCTGAGTGCTCCATAGTTCGGATGTAAAACCCTGATTTATGTACACAGAAGAAACTTCTTCACCCCCCTCCTTTTATCTTGGGTATAATTCCAAGCTCAACTGTTATCAATATTTTGTTATTAGTACTATTTTTTGCACTTTCCATGTGATATTTATTAACGTTACTTTTCCAACTGACTTTTTGGTCACTGTCGTAACCTGCTACACAATTTATTTGATGCTTATCTTCATGTTGTTTTATTTACATCTAATTTTTTTGAAACTTTCTCATATTACACAATCTTTAATGTAAACTTACTAATCTCCACCTTCGCACATACACCTCCCAGTTAAAATCTAATTATTCTTCACTATTTTGAAATATTCTAATGATGTAGGTGATACGCCGCACTAATTTATTGTTATTTCTATGTTTTAAGGACTGAATTTACACACATATACAAAAATTAATGATGTTATATTATATATGCATATATCTATATATGTTTTTATACCATTGTACAGCTAATTGAGTGAATTCGCCGAGAATAGTCTCTTCGCCAAACTGTTGTTCTCATACTTCCATAACAATATACATTTAAATATTTGGTGTTCTTGTGTTGATAAAGATCTGCAACCTGTTGGAAATATTCTTTGTGACCCGCCAAGTTTCTGATCCATTTAGCAAAACTGACTTGATGTTTGTATTGAAAATCCGAATTTTGTTGTTGATGCTGAGTGACGAGGATTTCCACATTCATCAACCTGAAACCAATCTGGAAATCTTCGTCACTCAACTCAGCATCAACAACAAAATTCGGATTTTCAATACAAACGTCAAGTCAGTCAGTTCTTCTATACGGATCAGAAACTTGTTGGGTCACAAAGAATATTTCCAACAGCCTGTTGCAGACCTTCATCAACAGCTCTCTTCGCTCTATACTCAAGATCAGATGGCCGGAAAGAATCACCAACAAGAAACTATGAGACCAAACAAAACAAGAACCAATCGCTCAACAAATATGCAGGAAAAGTGGAGATGGATTGGACACTCGCTGAGGAGGAGGCAGCTGGGTGCCATCGCGCGTCAGGCCAGTGTTCGAGTGGAACCCGAAAGGGAAGCGGCGAGTGGGACGTCCAAGGGTGACATGGAGGACATCGTGCGAAGAAGAGTTGAAACAGTATGGACTAAGATGGATGCAAGTGAAAAGTACAGCAGAAGAGAGAAGCAAGTGCAGACGTGCAGTTGAAGCCCTATGTTCCACTAGGAACCCAAGGGAATGATAATAATAATTGTGTTCTCTAGACAGTTGACGGTTTAACTGCGAAACATTCCTTTCTTTCTTTTGCTAGACAACATCCTCATCGGTATCAATTTTAAAAATCAGATTCAGATTTAATAGTTTCAAAAATGGGATATATTATGTTCAGTATTATGATAATTTTTCAACTTCCAAGGAATTAAAAACAATTCAATGTTAAATGTGGAATAAAATGCTTAGGATTGGATGCAGTACATACACCGATCGAAATTGTTGCCAAATAAATATGAGGAGAAATGAACACCTTAAAGCCCTTTTTACTTGACCACACAGAAATTCATAGGTCTAAATGCTTATGAATCAGGTCACAGAACCAACTGTCATCACATTGAAATCATTCAGAATATATTTTAAAAATCCTAGAGAACATCTTATAGTGGAAATACTACACATATACAAGTGGAATATAAATTGTTCAGATAGGAATGTCGAAGTAAGACAAAATTTTACCCAAATCCAACATCCACATGGTGTGTAATGTCACTCAACGGTTTCCTCAAAATATATCCAGTCCATCTTCACTTCCTTGGACATATTTTTGCCGCAACAGGTTATTGGCTTGTTAGCTGATAGAGTATCTTGTCACTGATTCCTTTGATGCAGGCTATCTGATCTTCAGTATAGAGCGAAGGTAGCTGCTGATAAAATTCTGAAGCCTGTTGGAAATGCTTTCGGTGAAGTGGTAATTCTCTGAACCTTATGGAAACGCCGGCTTGACATTAGTGTTGAAAATTCGGATCTTGTTCGCTGCTCTGAGTGAAGGAGATTTCCACACTGACTTCAGATTAAAAAACTTTTTCTGTACACAGAGATCTGAATTTTCTGTTTCGATAGCCAAATCTTCAGCAATACAGATGAGCCGGGTACGTAGGGATTTGGGTAAATTACTCTTTGCCTTGTAGATGACTTTGAAGACGGAGGCTATAGAGATATACGGTGATCATTATCGACCAGATGTTCAATGATCGCGCTTCTTATTGCTCCACTTCCACCTCTTTGTAACCATGCAGGATAGTGTTCTTGCACCCTCGTGGACAAAACTCGAGTGGAGCTAGGTATATCGGTCGTTCAAGTCGAGGGTGCAAGAACACTATCCTGCATGGTTACAAAGAGGTGGAAGTGGAGCAATAAGAAGCGCGATCATTGAACATCTGGTCGATAATGATCACCGTATATCTCTATAGCCTCCGTCTTCAAAGTCATCTACAAGGCAAAGAGTAATTTACCCAAATCCCTACGTACCCGGCTCATCTGTATTGCTGAAGATTTGGCTATCGAAACAGAAAATTCAGATCTCTGTGTACAGAAAACGTTCGTTCAACCCCTCCAACTTTCATGGTCTTAATCCCTCTATGCTAAAGTATGGTAATCCCCAATCATATTTTAGCTCTACCAATTTTTCATTTTTTTTCATATTTGTCTATTCAATTTGTATACTCTTCCTTTATTACGTCAGTTTTTACTGTTAATATTCTCACATTTAATTGTCCCCGGTATTATTTCACTTGTTCCACTTGTCATTCTAAATCAATTCCTTTTTACAACGTTAAATTCTATGCTATTAACTTTCACACAATATTATATAACGTTTTATTTTATTCGATTTGTCTACTAATCTTATAATTGCACACGCTTTCCAAGTTATATCCATCCTATGAATTATTCTATATACGGCATTAATTTGCTTTGCCACTTGACACTTAACTACGATTATAATCACAAACAATTTAGTTTTAATTGCATTTCATACTACTATTATTATTATTTTATGCATTCACACCTATGTTTCAAATCCCTCACCGGATATAACTTCTTAAAAACCATACATATACGATTGTACAGCTTGACAATAAATTCGTTGGAAAGAGTCTCTTCGCTAAATCATTTGTTTTGTTTTTCTAGATGTTACAATGGGAATTTTCCATGATTTAAAAATTTGTCTTGCTTTTCCGATCCTGTCTTTGACATCGTAATCCGTGAGACTTGTAGTTGAAACAGTGCTACCTAAATAAGTGAAAGGGTCGGCCTCCTTTAGATTCCTATCTTTGATGTTGATTGGTTGTTGTTGTTGTTGTTCTCGGGTAGATATCTACATCACCTCTGTTTTCTAAATGTCTCACTAAAATCCTGTCTACGCTGTTTCTCCTGACTACTTGTCCTAATGTGTCTACAATATTCCGATTCCTCTTCTGTTGTCTTGTTACAGTGATCAGTTAAAAATATTTTTTTTTTCATTTTCAATCCAAGAAACAGTATAATTATATTTGTATCCAATAAATAATTATAAACTTACTATACATTTATGCGGTTTCTCTCCTGTATGCCTTCGCATATGTACAACAAGCATGTATTGAGCTTTGAATGGTCTAGTTCCACGAACACATTCACGCCATAAACAAATAAAACTCTTTTTATTCCCTGCTATATGTTCATTGCTAAGATGCTAGAATTGAAAAGAAGAAATATGCTCAGTTATCTTTATGATAATTTTGAGACAAAATATGTGTATACTCATGAGTAGTTAAATTATATATCCAAAAACATCAAGGAAATATTATGAAAGTAGGTATTGACACTGATGAAATATCAGAGTGAATTTTATGTCGAGTAATTAATTAAGTCAATCTACCAGTCAACCGTCTAACTGTTTTCAAAAGAATCTTATAAAAACTGCCTAGAAGGGATAATTCTAAGACTAAAAGACAATATGTTCCACCAAAAATCAAATTTCCAATTCGCTCTCTTTACAGACTTCCAGGTGAAATTTCATCATAGTTTAAGATCGCAATGTGTGATCTGCTTGACACTATAAAAAGCGATCAAGAAAGTAAGCATACATGCATGACAATATCTACTAAGGACTGATTGAGATGAGTAGATGTATAGCACTCACATCAACCAGTATTATGTTGTGTCTTCCATCAGTTTTAGAAACATTAACTTATTATTATTATTGTTTCCTTTAATTCCTAGAGGAACATAGGGATTCAGCCGCGCGTCTCCATTGCGTTCGGTTTATCTGCTAGAGTCTTCACCTGGCTCCAAGTCTGCCCACTTGCTTTCATCTCCTCTTCACATGACTTCCTCCAAGTCACCCTCGCTCTGACGACCAACTCACCGCTTCCCTTTCGGCCGGGTTCCAGTCGAGCAATGGCTTGTCTAGTGATGTCAATTGATGCATTGTCTCCTCAGAGTATGGCCAATCCATCTCCACTCCTTCCTGCTTATTTGTTGCACAATCGGTTCCTGCTGGTTGGTTCACTCATTGCCAGAGATCTCTGTTGCTGATCTTTTCTGGCCGGCCATCTGATCTTGAGTATTGAGCGAAGACAACTATTAATGAAGGTCTGTAGTTTGTTTGAGATGCTCTGCATGACGTGCCAAGTCTGTAATCCGTATAGCAGCACTGACTGACTTCACATTGGAGTTGAAAATCCGGATCTTAATTTTCATGCTGAGTGTTGTTGAACTCCACACCGGCTTGAGGGTAGTGAAAGCCTGTCTTACTTTCCCGATTCTTGCTTTGATACCCTCATCGGTTCTGTCCGCCTGCAGTTGAGACTATGCTTCCCAGGTAGGTAAAAGAGGTTGTTTCTTTCAGGTTCCTTCCATTTATGCTGATTGTTGTCTGTTGTTGTTGTTCTTGTCCAGGAATCTTCATCACCTATCTCTGTTTCCTCTATGTTCACCTGAAGTCCTATCTTTGATGCTTCTTCTGCCAACTTGTTCCTTTTCGCTTGCATATCTTCCAGTTTGTGGGAAATCAGACAAATATCATCGGCGAAGTCCAGATCCTCCAAGTTTTTTGTGTGAGTCCATTTTATGCCTGTTTGCTCATTGCCCGCTGTTTGTCACATTATCCAGTCTACTGCAATCAGGAAAATCACTAAACTCTTCTTCAATTAAAGCTAAGTATTAAAATCGACTTATTACAATGAATCCGTTATAAAAGGGTGTAGTAAATATCTTCTTTCTTTAATTGCTTAACTTATTGGGCTGGAACTAATTTCTGATCGTGTGCTTAGGCTTTCAAATAATCCGTTTCAAGTTTTTTCATCTATGTGGCGAGAGACGCGTTCAGGAACATTATCCAGTTTGGTTAGCAAAGGGAGGGCAGAAGTGTGTCTATAGTTCGATAACAGAACATCTGGTGAATTCAGAACATCCAGTACCATTTGAGAAACCGTTCAAAGTCCTATACAACATGCGATTGGACCTCTCAAAAGAAGTGAGATAAAGACAGGACTGAAACATTATTCATCCAGAAATTTAGGCAGACACTATATATTCAAAAGAAGTAAGTTCAACCTTTGTCTTTATCATTATTACTATTTTTATTATTTTATTCCTTTACGTTCCCAGTGGAACATAGGGCCACTTCAAGCTAGAGGCTTGAAGTTTCGGTAGCAGTGGCTAACCTCATGCCCAACCTTCCCTATTTACCAGTCTTATTACTAGCTTAGAGAGGTAAAGGAGTACGTCGGCCGGGGATCGAACCTCGAACCACCATGGCTATCATAAAGACATCATTTTCTCAACAACAATTAATAATTACTATCTGGTTACGTTTTTATGCTGATTTCATGTTAACTTTTCTCATGATAACACATTTAAGTTCGAATTTGTAATATATAATTCCATCTTGTTATTCGTTATATTTTGATATTTGATTGAGAATAGTTCTGGAACCTCTTCACCCCTTTGTCATATATATATTCACGAATGTGCAGCCTAGTTGATAACTTCGTTGAAAAGAAAACTTTTTCGCTGTTTTAACCACTTTTTTATTTTTCCCTATGATTTAAAAGTATCATCGCTCCATATACCAGCAACCACGTGTCCTAAACAAAAACATTACCAAACAATATATGTGTAATATGTATAGAAGCAGACAGTCATTGGGATTCCATGTATGCAATAGGTTTTGTACTGGCTGAAACTCAACATCAAGGTGTGTAGTTACATAAGTTCGTGTCAGTTGATAGATTTGAGTGCAAGTTAACTCGTATCAAGGTCAGCTGTTATAAAAGCACCACACGGCAACTAATGAAATTGTCTGGAACTCATTGTACTCTGTGGTCACTGAGGAAATTGAAACATGACAATCTTACACAACACGATGTGTAAATAAAATTTCATCTGCAAGAAACGCGTCTGTGAAGGCTAACAGCCACCAGTGCATGCAAATTGACCAGTCTTATATAGAGTTGGTCGTGAGGACAATATCTTAAACAATTAGTTCCCTTTATGAATTTAGATAAAGCAATAAGAAGACGTAATTTGTCTGAATCGTGTGTGTAGTGTGTATTTGCGCAACACATTTCGAACAATCTGATCCAGCACACACGGACTTGTCATAGGAATATATATGAAATTAATAAAGAGTTAAGAGGTGAGAAATAGACATTGGGTCAAGTTGAAAGGACATACTGAAGGTAAAATAACAATGAAGACACTAAACAAATACAGAGGTAATATACATCTGTATGTATCAAACAAATTTACAGGAAGTGGTTATGTGATGACGAATTGTTGCCATAAGGTAATTCTAATGCATAGATCCACAAACTTTAGATACACCCCAAACACGTTTTATAGATAGGTTTAAAAGATCTGTTAACGTCAATTTTATGTCCTGTCTCTATAATATGTTTCGCAATAGAAGAGCTAGGTCTCCTGTTCTCACCATTAATGGGTTCTTAAGATTCCATTTGTTTCTGGAGCCATTTAGGAATATGGTCTGAAGCCCTTACTTGAAGAAATCGATGAGTCCTCCTATGTATGTGTGTCCACACGTACATTCAAATTGGTAAATACAGTGGGATGTGACGTCATTTTTCGCATGTTCGAAGGGCTTAGATAGATATATTGGCTTTACATTCTCTATTATTATGATATTGGCTGCATAAAAAGTCTTTTTAACAGCAGCGTTCAATCTTTGTCTAGTTATCAAGCTGCTATGATGCCCCATATTGGGTAGCTTGATGCACACGTCTTTCTTAGCGGCTAGTTGGAGAGTGGATCTTGGTGTTCTGACTACTTTATATCTCCTGATGAACTTGTCTGGATAATTGTTATCAACCAGAGTTTGTGTCAACGTTCCTTCTTCTTCATAAGTGTATCTTCAGTCATATTCGTTGGATTCTACGTAGTAAAGATAATGAACGATATAGCAACAGATGCAGCTTGTGATGTCGAAGGCAGGAAGGGCATCTCCTAGATTCCAGATAAGCTACATGCCTCTATGTAAAAAAATAATATTCACCCTCTGATTTGAGTAAAATTAACACAGCCAAGAAAAGAAAAAAACTAACTTACTTTCACAAGTTCATCTTGATCATCAAATTGTAATGTACAATCACCCCATCGACATGTTGTCTCAACAAAATCTGGATCACCTTCCTGTGGAACACGTCCATCATCATCCAATTCTTCATCTTCATCTCCTTCAGGTTCATCAACTGAACAATGTCCACCTCCACCATTATTATTATTATTATTGTTACTATTATCATTATGACTACTAGAATCACGTGTTGAATTTCTACGATTCATAACTACATCTTGACCTTGCCATTTTGTTGAATGTCCAATTGTTTCTTGTTTAAATATTGTTGGCGTTGCTATTGACGATGATGAAGATGCAGTTGGTGCTCCTACTGTTGTTGTTGTTGCTGTTGTTGTTCTACATCCACGATTAGAACTTTTAACACTACGCATATGATTCGACGAATTATCACTGAGTCTTCTTCCCATATTTTGTTGATGTTGTGGAAAAATGTTATTCACAATATTAGGATTATTATTATCATTACCTAAGTTATTCACGGAACAGTGTTGTTTTAAAAGATCTTTCGTTAGTGTTGGACACTGAAGATTATTTGTATCACTCATTAAATAGTTATGATTACTAGTGTTATTTTCATTCTGGCTTAGTTTCGACATATCTGTTCTTGATAATGTTGAGCAGAAATCCATTTGATTAGCTTTTAAGCGTCCATTTTTGCGTGTAGCAGTTTCATTGGATTTAGTTGAACATTTTGCATTGTTCGTATGATTATTATTGTTATTATTATTTAACCATTTATATGGCCATTCAGGTGTCGGTGCAGATTCAAAAGGCCAATGTAAAGGATACATAAATGGTGAGGGGATATTAACATTACCAGTAATACTGCTATTATTATTACTATTAGCAGGAGTTGCATTCATTTTATTAGTATTACTCAAACTGATATGATTGGTTTGATTGCCGAGTACAGTAGACGACTGATAAGATGACGGTAATAAAGGATGTGAAAGCGGAGTAAGATGTAGTGGAGGCGGCAAAGGTGAAGAGGAGAAGGAATGCTTTCTCACCGTACCATGTTGATTACTGTCTTTATTCACTACATCCATGTAAACGTCATCATAACTCATTAGTTTATTTGGGGAGATATTTCCATAATTAGCTGAAGAAGTATTGTTTGATAATATGTTATTATTATTATTAGGAGTGTTGGCTAAAGAAATTGACGGTTTTGTAAAGCAGGATGAAATTAGATTATTACACATAGAATTGACGGATCCGTAACCTCCTACAGGATTACTGCTATTGCTAGGAAGCGTTACTGGTGTACATGACAGTTCACATCCACTAGACGGATTTTGAGGTAGGTTATTATTATTATTTTCTGATATAAATTTATCCATTGACGATGTATTTTCTCTTTCTGTTATATTCATAAACGGAGAAGTAGATGAGCCGACAGCCGCTGCGGCTGCGACTGCTGCAAAAGCCATAGCTGATTGTAATACATTATTACTATTAGCAGTAGCATTATTATTAGTAGTACTACTATTGGATAACGTCAATGCTCTACACGATGGTGTTATCCCATGACAAGGATTACTTGATAAATTCTTCATAGGATCCATTGAACAGTTGAACAAAGAAGAATTGGAATCTAATGATTGCTGCTGCTGTTGTTGTTGCTGTAGCTGTTTATTCAGTGTATTTGATGAGGATAAAACTGCCAAGTGTCCAAACGGGGCACGATTTAAACTACTGCCTGTTGAACGATTACTACCACCACTTGTAGATGTACGTCCTGAATTCTGTTGATGATATGACTGTAAAACATGCGGCAAAGGAAGTGATTTATGCGAATTTATTTGATAATTATCAAATCCAATAGCACCATTTCCACTTCCTATTGAATGAGGTGAATTAGGCGACCAGAAAGGTGATCTATCGCTGAATGAAGTCGGTGGAGCTGTATGCGCTGAATTACCATTACTACTGCTAAGTGTACGACGAATATCACATGAGGCTGCAGGACTAGCACCAAGGGATGCTAAAATAAAGAAAATGATTGTAAAACAAAACGATTACTTAGAAAAGCTCCTGAAACTTCTCGTAAAAAATAAACCTGAAAAAGTAATGTGAATCTCAAAAATTATTCTGGTTAGAATCGAATCGAGAATTTGAGAACTATTTGCAAGTATTCAGACTAGGGGATTTTTGAGGGAATTGGATTGGATGTAGATTCCGTCACACTGGAGATCGAGAAGCAATGGACATCTGTTTCGTCCTACTTTGGGACTCTTCATCAGTGCTTTCCTACATTCCCGCACCCCGAGACCTCCAGGTTACCAGGCCAGCTCATTGATCATCGAATTCTAACATCTGTCAATTCGTGATATAGCGCTACCGTCAATCAGTACCACGCTGATCATTCACTTAATCTCGACACAGTGAACCGGTGCTGGTCACTACTTCTTATTACAACTTCAGGACACTCACCCAAAAGTCACAAATGAGCTGGAGATCGATATTCAGATTATGAGTTTCCTCACAAACCAACATATAAGCAGGCAAATAAAATATCAGGGATTTTTAATGTGTAGACTGCACAATTCGATATTAGTGATTACAATAATAACCCCATTTGTAAAAGGGAAACTAATGTGTATGCAAATAAGCCATCTTCCACCTGCAGCAATTGTTTTCAACTTGTCCGGGTTTTCGAATTCTGAGAAAAAATTGAGATTTGAGATGTCTAAAGTTTCTATAAATGATCCCATTCATAACTGAGTTAACAATTTCATTCATTCATTTAACTGCATCTTCAAGTAATATCTACGAATGCAGAACAGAGATTTCTAGAAGTATGAAGTTTACATCACTGAGTACCTAAACTATTCTTCGAGTCACTATCACACTAATTCTTAATACATAGGAGAATTAAGTAGATATTACCAGGTATCACATCCCATATTACCTACACATCAAATAATTGATAAAACGCATATCAAGTAAACGATATTTCTCTACAAGGATCAGAACATTAGCTGATGTCATCATCATCATCTTGTATTGTGTCGGTGGCACAGTGGTTATGACTCTCGTCGACCATGCATATGGTCCGGGGTTCGATCCCCTGCCGACACACACCCGATATCTATGGTCGGCCTGAAAAACTTGGGCTACCCCGATATCACATGCTAAAAATTCCATACCTATACCGTAAAAAATACGGTGTGGAATCAAGCTATGATCAAAATTCAAAAAAATAAAATAAAAACCCCTTAAAATTCCTTACATACGATTTAGTCCTGCATCTGTTATTGTAGAGTTTCAAATTAGACCGTATATGGACAGGCATTACCTTACAGACACTGAAAATTAATAACTCAACTGCCTAACAACTGCTTCGTTTAACCATAATACGTGGGAACTTTCAAATCCTGAAGTGACGGCAAACATTGCAGGCCTAGCACATTTAATGACAACATGTCATAATAATGCATTAAAGCAACAATTACTATTATTATTATAGTCTTGGGTTCCTAGTGGAACATAGGGCTTCAACTGCACATCTCCACTTGCTTCTGTCTTCTGCTGTACTTTTCACTTAAATCCATGTTAGTCCATACTGTTTCAGTTCCTCTTCACACGATCTCCTCCATGTCACCTTTGGACATCCCACTCGCCTCTTCCCTTTCGGGTTCCAGTCGAGCACTGGCCTGACGCGTGATGTCACCCAGCGGCCTCCTCAGCGATTGTCCAATCCATCTCCACTTTCTCCTGCATATTTGTTGACCGATTGGTTCTTGTTTTGTTTGTTCGCATAGTTTCTTGTTGGTGATTCTTTCCGGGCCTTCTTATCTTCATTATAGAACGACGAAGACAGTTGTTGATAAAGGTCTGCAACAGACTGTTGGAAATATTCTTTGTCACCCGCCAAGTTTCTGATCCGTATAGCAAAACTGACTGACTTGACGTTTGTATTGAAAATCCGAATTTTGTTGTTGATGCTGAGTGACGACCATAAGATGTGGGAAATTTGAAATCCGGAAGTGACTGCAAACTTTGCAGGCCTAGCACATTTAATGACCACACATCATAATAATACATTAAAGCATCAACTACTAAAATAGAGTATAATTCACATGCAGTAAATAACTTGATGATTCACTTGCAATATAAGTGCGAGTAATGGAAGTAAGCCAGACGAGGCTTTTGTATGTGTATCCGAATTTTTCAGCAATCAATGAACCTAGTAAATCAGAACGTAGGAGACCTTTTACGGCCATTTCATTTACTACACCTTTGAAATGGCAGCTATACACAATTTTTGGCATGTTTCCTATAGTTCTACATTTAAAATATAAGTAAATGCAATTCTTTTAAGATTAGTAAGTGCCAATGGTTCACTGGTAGAATGATCGTTAACCGACCACATGGCCTTAGGTTCGATTTCCGGCCACCAACTCCCTCCTGAGCTTGCTTAGCTGGTAGTAAGCCCGGGTAAATACGGAAGTTTTGACATTAGACTAGCAACCTCATCCCTTGAGAACAACAACACCACCGCTACTGGAACTTCAAAGCCTGAAGTCCAGTGTTTCATTAGGAATGCAAAGGAATCCCAAAAACTGAACCTATTATGGTAGTATAGTAAAGCTAAGTGACTACAGACAAGGAATAGCTTAGTAAGGTAACATTACGTAACAATCCCACTGGATGAAAAAAGTAGCAGGATTTTACTATAAATAATCTTTTCAGTATTAACTGAGGGGAGAAAGGAGCTTCAGCTTCCCTACATCATGCTTATATCTTCAGAAATACAAATCAGGTGAACCCATCACTGCTTACTGAAGGTGATACTTGATACGTGTCTATTTGAAATGAAAAGTTATAAAGGTCCAGTCACTCGATAATCCATGTATGAAGTCGTGAACTCCGTTTACATTTGAATAATCCATTGAAATACCATCTGGCTATTCAACTTTTGTTCAGAAAAGATGCAGACTTTCATCAACATCTTCCTTTTTCACTCAATACTGAAGATCAGACGACTATCCAAAAAGGATTAGCAACAAGGGAACCTAGTAGACCGCAGCGAACTAACCATGCTGTAGAGACTGTTGAGTGACATCAGGTACTAGGCCTTCGAATGGGAGGCGAATGGGAAACGACCAGTTGAGCATGGTTTGATGGGTGTAATGGAGGAGACTGTGTGGGGAAGAAATGTAAACTTATGCACAAACGTAGAGCTACATAGAAGTCTGCAGAAAACTTGGGGAAATAGAAATGTACTGCTGATTCCCTGTGTTCCAAAGAATAATAGTAATAATAATGTCCAACTGTTGATGGCTAAGCTAAAGTCTCCGTGTATAGATGTTCATTCTAATAATTTTATCTATTTGGTGGTGGTTAGCCCTAGAGTCGGAAAGGCTTATTTCGTCTTACCTTGGATGTGTCAGGCGAAAGTGTAATGGACAAATTGTTTGGAAAATCCTTCCTGGAAGATCTATTTACAATAATTATACTTATTTCGACATTTCAACTAACTTTGTTATACGTATTTCCCCTAGACTGTGCATCGATAATTTGACATTTGCATATCACATGTTGATTTTTGACCTTTATTATTTGCCTCTGTCGTTGAAACACTGAAAAGGTCTATCCACAGAAAGTCGACGTGGAACGGACAGCTTACTAACTTTCACAGTTGGGTACTCCTATACACCAAACGAAACCTGATCCGTTCACTCAGCTATACAGAGTTCGCAGAATTTGCACCCCGGACACCATAGAAGATGAACTGGACAATCTCAAGAGAATCCTCGTCAAGAATTGTTATCCAGAAAGATTTATTGCAAAATCTATGAATCCTAGACCACAAAAGCCGCCCATGCTTAGCGTCCCGAAAAAACTACTCTACATGAACCTTCAATTCAATGGAGATATATCTGCGGAAACATTAAAAAATCGACTGTCGCGCTCACTTAAGAAGACCTTCTTCGCAGCCGAACTACGACTAACCTTCTCCACAAAACCTATGATTCATGTGAACGTGAAGGATAAGCTACCACTGCTGACCTCATCAATGTGTATTTATCAATTCACCTGCTCGTGTGGAGCCAGGTATGTTGGCCGTACCCAGCGCTCGCTTTCCAAACGTATCACCGAACACTTACCAACATGGTTTTACAAAGGAGAAAATCGATGCCCCCACAGTTCCATCTTAGAACATCTGATAGAATCCGGACACCAAGCTACACCGCAAACAAACTTCAAAGTCGTCTACAGAGTAAGAAGTAGTCTTCCTAAGGGTGTACGAATCAGACTTCTTCAAACTGCAGAAGCAATGGCGATTCACTTGCTAAGTCCTGAACTCTGCATACAGAAGAAGTTCGTTCAATCACTACACTTGCAATGGACGTAATCTATCTTATTACCCAACAAGTAAATTCTACCTATCATTTTTTTCTTTCTGTCTCTTCATTAGTATTATTTTGTCTTCTCAATTGTAATATTTTACATTTTCAACCTTCTTGTTCTCTACCCCCACCCGATTTCATTTCTACACCTCATTACCACTGTTACTGACTTGAACAACGCTCAATTTCTAGTCATTTATGTTACGTCATCCAACTTATTTGCTCAATTTCAGTTCTAATTTATATTATTCTACTTCTACTTAGTCTCTACCTGTAATTACCTCTGTTGCTACCCTGACCTAACTTACTAACTCAATCTTACTTTAGTTGCTGTCTGATTAACCTTGTTTCTATATTAGATCATTCTTGTATTTATTACCTGATTAATTATCTAAACTTGCCAAACCTCATTCACACACTCACACACAAATAATTATATATAAATGCGATTGTACAGCTATGTGAATGAATTCGCCGAAAAGAGTCTCTTCGCTGAACGTCTTCTCTTTTTCATATGACTCAATGGGGATTTTCAAGCTAATCATTAGTTGTAATATTTCTTTATCGTTGTGTACATTGACAAAGTATTGTTTAACGATATGAGTTTGTTTGAGTGAATGAAGATCCTTCTGACTCAAGACTGTCAGCGAGAAGCCTTGGTGTGTGATTCTTGTGGACGGAACTTTTGATCCCTTCGCGTTGGGAATATTCTCCTTGATTCTAAGGTACCTTTTACAGTTGAACTTTGGTTAATTAACTTTTGTCTTACAGTACTTGTTGCATATTTAGCAACCTACATTGCCTGCATTAGACTGGACAAACAGCGGGCAATGAGGAAACAGGCATAAAATGGACTCACAAAAAACTTGGAGGATCTGGACTTCGCCGATGATATATATCTGATTTCCCACAAACTGGAAGATATGCAAGTGAAAAGCAACAAGTTGGCAGAAGAAGCATCCAGAGAAGATAGGACTTCAGGTGAACATAGAGAAAACAGAGGTGATGAAGATTCCTGGCCAACACCACCACCACCAACAACAACAACAGACAACAATCAGCATAAATGGAAGGAACCTGAAAGAAACTACCTCCTTTACCTACCTGGGAAGCATCGTTTCAACTACAGGTGGACGGAACTGACGAGGATATCAAAGCAAGAATCGGAAAAGCAAGACAAGCTTTCACTACTCTCAAGTCTGTGTGGAGGTCAACAACACTCAGCATCAAAAATAAGATCCGGATTTTCAACTCCAATGTGAAGTCAGTCAGTGCTACTCACTATACGGATCAGAGACTTGCACTGCGCGTCATAAAGAGCATCTCAAACAAACTACAGACCTTCATTAACAGTTGTCTTCGCTCAATACTCAAGACCAGATGGCCAGAAAAGATCAGCAACAGAGATCTCTGGGAGCGAACCAACCAAGCAGGAACCGATTGTGAAACAAATAGGCAGGAAGAAATGGAGATGGATTGGTTGGCCATACTCTGAGGAAACCATCAAGTGACATCACTAGACAAGCCATTGCTCGAGTGGAACCCGAAAGGGAAGCTGCGAGTTGGTCGTCAGTGCAAGGGTGACTTGGAGGAGGTCATGTGAAGAGGAGATGAAAGCGTGTGGGCAGACTTGGAGCCAGGTGAAGACTCTAGCAGAGAACCGAACGCAATGGAGACGCACGGCTGAAGCCCTATGTTCCTCTAGGAATTAAAGGAAACAATAATAATAATATAATTGCCTGCATAGCTTTCTCAGGGTATTGTTGAGGTAAATGTGAGTTTGATGTTATTGTTGTTTAATAGGACCGCTACAATATTGGAGAAAAATTGTCTCTTCCCTGAGTTCGGAAACATTTCACGCATATCTCAGTGATGTTTTGTCGGTTATACAGTAAAACTTGGCGATCAGTTTCTAGCGTTCAGACCACAACCAAGTAAATTTGGTCGTTACAGAAAATGCCGACACAACTCAGTAAATGATGACTTCCCCCACTGATGCATGAATGTAACACCTCGCACTTCAAACATCGATTTGAGTTATTTTCAAGTATTGGTTTTGTAGGGATTTTGTTTGATTGCATGGAGGATTTCATCATTCAAGGACTATTGGATCGGGTCCCAGTGGCTCAATAGTCTACGAGCTCGCCAGCCTTGTAACCAGAAGGTCCTGGGTTCGAATCCTGGCGGTGAGTGCGTACTGATGAAGAGTCCCAAACTAGGACGAAACAGCTGTTCAGTACTCCCTGCAGGTTTTCCAGTGGTTCTGTAACTGATGTGAGCTCATGATTTGAGTTAGTCAAATCAACTAGAAATTATAGATATTATTTTTTTTTAAAAAGAGTAAATAAAACATGTTTTAGTAATTTACCAGCAGATAAATGACCATACGAGCCTTCTCCACTTTGTCCCATACTATGTGAACCACGTATTGATTGCATAATATATAATGAACCTTGTGAACTTCTTGTTAAACTTGATATATCAAATAATTCATTCACCGATGACTGTGAATGTGACCGCTTTTTACCACCGCGTAATATCGGCGCTGAATAATTCGGTATATATCCACTACTATGATGTCCACGGTGTAAAAATGGTCCATAATGCGGATGATGTGGATATTGCAGTGGCTGATTTGCCTGCTGTTGTTGATGCTGATGACTAGGCATTGATGTTGGCAGTTGATGAACGGGGGATGCATTCTGAAGTGAAGGAACAGTTGACGGTGGAAGTAATAATGTGTTAAAGGGTGAATTTGACAGAATGCTTGATTGACACATTAAATTCATCGGATTTCTATCTGTGCTCATTGATTTCATACTTTCATTCCATACAGGTTTTAATAGATTTTCATTATTTGTTAAGGAGGATGTATTATTATTATTGGTGAACCATCTACGTACAGCATTCAATGCTGCAGCGGCTGCAACTATATTAGCCTCTGATGATGAACATTCCAATTTATTACTTTTTTGTTGATCCGTATCCATTGGCTTCTCATTTGGAAATAGTGATCTAATTAATAAAAGTAGAGGGAAGGGGGAAAAGTTCTCATTAATGATTGATTTATACAGCTTTCATTGGTAGGAAAGAAACGATTTACAAAATTGTATATGGGAAATGTTACTATCAACAAAATAAAACGATAAGAAATAAATGGAGTTATACATTTAACAAAGTCTGAAAGTCATGTGAGTATCCCTTGATATGATTACGAGCAACAGTGTTGTCTTGCTTCTTCGATAAACTGGTTGAAGAAGCAGCAAAGACAGGACTCCAGGTGAACATAGACAAGATGGAGGTTATGAAAATAACCAACCAACCAACAACAACAGCAGCAACAACATCCAGTGCCAATCACCATCAACGGGAGGGATTTGAAAGAGGTTACTTCATTCACTTATCTAGGGAGCATTGTCTCAACTACAGGAGGAACGGACGAGGATGTCAAATCGAGAATCGGGAAGGCGAGAAACACATTCATCAACCTAAAACCAATCTGGAAATCTTCGTCACTCCTCAACATCAACAACAAAATTCGGATTTTCAATACAAACGTCAAGTCAGTCAGTTCTTCTATACGGATCAGAAACTTGGCGGCATGTCACAAAGAATATTTCCAACAGCCTGTTGCAGACCTTTATCAACAACTAACTGTCTTCGCTATATACTGAAGATCGGATGGCCGGAAAGAATCACCAACAAGAAGCTATGGGAACAAACAAAACAAGAACCAATCGCTCAACAAATATGCAGGAGAAAGTGGAGATGGATTGGACACTCGCTGAGGAGGCCACTGGGTGACATCGCGCGTCAGGCCAATGCTCGAGTGGAACCCGAAAGGGAAGTGGCGAGTGGGACGTCCAAGGGTTACATGGAGGAGATCGTGTGAGGAGGAGTTGAAACAGTGTGGACTAACATGGATGCAGGTGAAAAGTACAGCAGAAGACAGAAGCAAGTGGAGACGTGTAGTTGAAGCCCTATGTTCCACTAGGAACCCAAGGGAACAATAATAATAATATAATAAAGACAACATCAATAGCTGAACTTGTCATCAGATTAGGTTTAAGAGAAGAACTCCATCGAATTATTGCTAAACTAGACAATATACGAAATGAAGTTGAGAAACTTAAAATGTATGATAAACGACAAAGATATTATCAAATACTCGTTGAAACATTCAAAGGAGCTAGAGAAGCTGCTTTGAAGAAAAAGAAACAAATTAAGGAGTGCAACAAATTTAATGGAAGAAAGGGACAACACAGAATATGATAAACTTGTCAATAAAGCTTCATCAACTGTCGACAGAACAAAGTGAATGATCAACCCTTTAACAAGAGAACTAAACTCTATAGTGAAATAAAAATGCTAAAGGAAGGTTTAAACTTTAGCAAGACAGTTAACAAACAGAAGTCCGAGAATTTCATTCCTAGGCATAGTGGTAAGAAGCATAATCGCAGCTGATAATGGCGGTTGAACAAAAGTTATGAATAAATCCAGCTATATCGGTAAAAGTCAAAACGCAGCAATATGAGGAAATTAAGAAGCCTATAGTGCATCGGTGGCATAGCGGTTAGGACTCTTACCGACCATGCACATGGTCCGGGGTTCGATCCCCGGCCACAGACGCACTCCTTTACCTCGTTAAGCCAGAACTAAAAGCTGGTGAAGAGGAAAGGTTGGGCATGAGGCTAGCAACCCCATCCTGTAAAATAAACACTGCTACAGAAACTTCAAGCCACTAGCTTGAAGCCCTATGTTCCACTGGGGAACGTGAAGGAAAAAAAAAGAAGCCTATAGATTTCAGTATTAAATAAGATTAAGAAGTCTACAGAAGATTTAGTACAAAGAGAGAATGAAGCCGTCATTATTAGGTGGGTCTAAATGGAAATTAAGAATTTAGTCAAGTATACAATATGACTGACCTCACGAAGTTGAATAGCTTAGAGAAAAACTTAGAAATCGCCATGCATGCACCAACACACAACCAACCACACAATAAAGTGAGGACACAGAGCTACAATTTCAAAAAGTAATATGGGCAGGCGGAGAGAGAGAGACTGATCATTGAATTCTTGTTTATCGAATCTACAATTAACATGTTCAACAGAATCGATGCAGCGTCAATACCGTAGATATAGAAAATATTACTGCCGATATAATCAAAGGATAAGAAATAATGGAATTATATAAGCAGAGTTTGAAAGTTATGCGAGTACACTTTGATATAATTATGAGCGGTGACAAATTGTGCTCAAAAGGTCTCATCAGTAAATAAATAATACCGTACCACTGAGTGTGCTTTCACCGCATTATCTTATTTTATGATGGAGTTATATACTCTACCACAGTACCAAAATTCCATACACATATTTATGTTATTTTAAATTTAAATATAGAAGAAATAAGAGTGCATAGACTGTACTAGGCGGACGTTGGTCTAAACCTGTGCTCATGAACACCTACCAGTATGATTGTTGAAAAGCCGAACGTAGAACACATCATTACTTCTCGACATAGATTCTCTCTCTAGAGAGACTTCATTAAGGATCATATGTAAAGTAGGATTAAGCCAGGCAAAACTATGGATTTCGTTTAGCATCTTCTTTGTACATCCATACGTGAAGTTTGTGTAGAGTAATGCTTTTTATCCTGTTTTGTTTTCTACTATCAAAGGCCTTAGTGTGAATTTTCATTTAATGATTTGCTGCATAATAAATTCTATTGTAGATTTTTTTATTACGTGTGACCCGATTTCTAATCAATTACCTCTGAGATAACTATTTGCCGCTTTTAATCTATTGGTTGTACACATTCTTGATTATGTGAGATTGTTCACTATTTTTCAAACATTGTTATTTCTCATGCACTATTGATTTATCCTTAATACTATCTCACAGTAACCACAGACCACGGTAACCAGTTAACACTATGCAACATAAATGCCTGACGGTACAGCTTTGATGAGATGTTACTGGCTTCATTAAAAGTCTGTTAAATGTAGAAAGCAACCGACTAATATTCAGCTCCAATATGAACGATTTTCAAGAAATTGACTGTTTCAAAATAATTTTCATTACAGGATTTCATCATGAGCTGACATCAATTAGAGAACCACTGGAAAACCTGGGAGTACTGGACAGCTGTTTCGTCAGCCCAGTTTGGGACTCTTCATCAGTACGCACCCAACGGGGTTCGAACCCAGGTCCTTCTGGTTACAAGGCGAGCTACCTCGTAGACCATTAAGCCACTGGGATCCGATCCAATGGCCCATGCGTACTGTTGAAGAGTCCCAAACTAGGCTGACGAAACAGCTGTCCAGTACTCCCCGCAGGTTTTCCAGTGGTTCTCTAACCAATGTCAGCTCATGATGAAATCCTGTAACCAATCAATCAAATCCCTACACAACCAATACTTGAATTTTCATTACAGATTGACAGGGACTACAGAGGATCCAGAAACATTGAACAACTGCTTCTGATTGGTTTTTGAGACATTTCAGCTGCATCCATTCATGATATGAATTCGAAGAATATGAGAACTTCACGATAACTCCTTATTAGGCAGTGAATGTCAGCCCTATCCCTATCTTTCGTGTCTGTTGGCACTCATCAGTAAGGTGTATCTTCGACGTTGTAATAACTGATGTCCCCTCTGAGGTTCTAATCCACGTTACTCTATGTTGCGACAAGAAACAAAGTCACCGAATTAATTGAGACTTTAGAATTCTCCCTGATAACCTTGCCTGTGGATGATTGCCTTCATAGATGTTCTTATTCTTGTAGTAAAACCTCTGAATACAATTAATCATAGTCAAGATTATCAGAAGAGACTGTTATACCATTCATGGTGAATCTCAAGAATTCACTTCAAATTGAAATTAGCACTGAAGATGTGGTCAGAAAGACAAGGAATGCTTCTGAAATGAACCTTTCAGCTGAGAGAACATAAGAAAACAAAAAAACATCGATCTGAGATATAAACATTCTTCGTAATATAGTTGGTGTGTAATATATACACCAAAAGATTCTCTTCAATATGAATGTATTTCATCAATTTCAGAGAAAATCAACAGTTGCCTACTACCCATTCATTGTATATACCCATTATAAACTTTCGAAATGTCTCTCTGCAGGGATTCGATTGATTCCAAGTTTGAACCAATCAAAAACACTAAGGAGTACTGGAGGGCTGTTTCACCTTACTTTGTGGCTCTTCAACAGTGGGCACCTATAACCTCACCAGCATTCAAACCCAAGACCTTCCTTCGGATTATGAGACCAGCCTGTAGACTGTTCAGCTAATGGGATGACATCCAACGGTCCATCAACTCTTCTAACTTCTTCAGACTTGAGATATGTAGCGTCACCATCGTCCAGTGTGTCATTGGCGAGTTTATGTTATTACAATCGACCTAATAGACCCCACTGGTTAAAACTTCTCACAGATACTACAAAAAAGAACTCCTGCAGTGTCCCAAAGTAGGACGAGAACGCTATCCAGTATTCCTTGGATATACACATGCATATCCAGGTAAAATAAAGAACATCAGAAAGAATTGAGAAAGACTTCAAAACAACAAGTATGTATATGTGTGTGTGAGTTTGTATGTTTGTGAAAGAGAAAGAAATAAAGTCATTGAACATTGAACCGATTGAATTATTTGCATTGTTTAAATGCTAATAAATAAAAATATCAAGTATTTCAAATAATTAGCAAATGATGTAGCTTTATGCCTTTATGATGACAGTAACTAAAAGAAGTATAGAAAAGAGGAAATTTCGAAAAAGAAATATCTCACAAAAAAGAGCAAGAGATGACATCATTTTCCTGGCCACCCATAGACTATAGGAAGTAAATATTACTAGAAGAACGATTACTAATAGTACTGGTGCCCTGCACCATATATATACATATACCATTTAAATCTTGTGGATTTGATGCTTGAGTCAGGCTATCCACCGTATTATATAGAGGTGGGATAGTACACATCAGTAAATGATGGCTATAATGAT